CAGAGAAAAAGAGGAAGACCCCCAACGAGATGGATCAGCCAAGTGGCATCATTGATGGACTCAAGTGTGGCAGCGGTAGTGAGGTTGGCCCAGGATCGGACATTGTTTCGTTCTGCTGTGCATGGGGTCTCTATGAGTCAGTTCCGACTCGATGGCACCTGACAACTGTCGGGGTCTGACCTCGACATAGTTATGTTGTTCACGAGTGTTTGGTTCACAAGGAGGGGAGATCCAGCGGCGATAGGGATAGCGAAAGAATACACAGACAAACAGAAGAAGGGAGACAATGAGGCACCCCAAAGCCAGGGTGGATACATCACTGGTGGGCAGGCTTGGGACTACAGGCATCATGGCCTCTGCAGGCAGCAACTCACTGCCCTGCAATCTTTACTGCATGCCTTCCAACCCGTAATGCACTGCAATCGTTACTGCATGCCTTCCAACCAGTAATGCACACCTGGGGAGGCCCAGGCCTCTGCTTTATTTAGGGGAGGAGCTTCACACCAAACTGGGAGGGACTTAGGCAAGGTACAGCTACTTTACATCGTACTTTGCTAGTTCGAATCCCAGGCCAGCAACTTGGATTCTCAGGCCCAATTAACATATCTATAGCCCCTGAGGTCAGGTGGGGGAAGGTGAAAGGTAAGGACAAAAGCTGCACCTGGAAAAGGATTAGGGAGGATAGTTTTTTTGTCTATAGGACAAAGAACCAAGAAGTAGCTAAGATATTTTTAGTTAATCCTTTGGAGAAAGGCTTAACCTTGCAACCTTTAGTCTCGGCTTTAGGAAAATATCACATTTATCTGTGGATTATCAAAGGCTCCGTGTATTAATTTAATACATATAACTAAATATTAAGATGAAAGACAATTTGCTATTAACTGCCAGTGGCCTCATTTGTTACACTCGGCCCTATAGGGCCTCGAACCTCTGACTAGTCTTACACGGTCCGCAAGAGACAACAACAACAACAATACTATCAGAGCTCAGAGTAAGATCTATTTACCCTGAGTATTGACCCTTTCCCTTTCTAAATACTCAATGAGTCACTCTAGAGGAAGCAGATAATCTGCTGCTTTTGGAAGCAATGTTGAAATGGCTTTAAGGTGACCACAATATTCATCCAATGAATATGCCCTTTCCACAGGTCATGGTAGAGAGGGTAATCAAGGGAGCCCTTTCTATGTTGGCACTCCATGTAACCTTGGTGGTGGTTGTGTGCCATGCTGTCGGATCCAACTCATAGCGACCTCTTATAGGGTTTCCAAGGCTATAAATCTTTACAGGAGCAGAAAGCCTCATCTTTCTACCAGCTGGTCAGAAGGCACTTAACTACAACAACCTGATGGCTAGAACCGTGGTTTTGGCAGGGCCAGATCAAAGGATTCCTCAGGGCTTATATGGTCCATGAGCAGGGCGTTCCCCGTCTCTGCTCTAGAGGCTGGAAAAGGCAAGAAAACATTTTCTCCCATAGAACTTTCAGAAAAGAAGGCAACTCTGACAACACCTTGTTTTTAGCCCAGAACTGTAAGATAAGAAAGTTGTATGGTTATTTGTTATAGCAGGACTACAAAACAAATATAAGGATATTTTACATGAAGAAACCACCACTTGTCTGTCGGTCTGTCATACTGTGGTGGCTTGCATGTTGCTGTGATGCTGGAAACTGTGCCACTGATAGTAGCAGGATCACCCATGGTAGACAATTTTCAGTGGAGCGTCCAGACTGACAGACTAGGAATGAGACAGACTATTTCGAATGATTCACCAGTGAATATCTTATCAATAGCTTTGGAATATTATCAGACATAGTGCCAGATGATGAAAACACTATAAATAGCTTGAAACATTGTCAGCTATAATGCCGGGAGATGAGCCCCCTCAGGATGTAAGGCACTCAAAATACAACTGGGAAGAGTTGCCTCCTCAAAGTAGAATTGACCGTAACAAGGTGAATGGAGCAAAGCTTTTGCAATCTTCATTTACTGATGGGACACGACTCAAGATAAGGATAAGCAGCTCTAAACATCCAGTAATAATCAAAACATGGAGTGTATGAAATATGAATCTAGAGGAAAATTGGAAGTTGACGAAAATGAAATAGAACAAATAAAGATTGGTATCCTAGGCATTAAGGAACAGAAACAGACTGGTATTGGCGATTTTGAATCCAACAATCATGCTGTTGTTGTGAAGTGCCGTCGAGTCGGTTCCGACCCATAGTAACCCTGTATAGGGTTTCCAAGAAGCAGCTGGTGAGCTTGAGCTGCTGACCTTGTGGCTCAAATCGGCTTTGCAATCCAGCACATTAACACACAGTACCACACCAGGACTCCCCCAAAAAATGCCATCAAGTCAGTTTCAACCCATAGTGACACAGTATTGGGTTTCCAAGGAACAGATAGTGAGCTTGAACCACCAACCTGGCTGTGCAAATGACTTTGAAGTCCAGTGCATTAACCCACAACTAGGAACGTCAAATTGAGGCAGAAAGGCATCACATTCAAAAAAAACATTTCAAAATCTATCTTAAAGTACGATGCTGTCTGAGATAGGATAATATCCATACACCTACAAGGAAGACCAGTTAATACCACTATTATATAAATGTACGCACTAATCACTAAAGTCAGTGATGATGAAACTGAAGAATCTTATCAACTTCTTCAGTTTGAAGCTGATCAAACATACAATCAAGATGCGTTGATAATTACTGGTGATTGAAATGCAAAAGTTAGAAACCAAGAGGAATGATCAGAAATTGGAAAATATGGCACTGGCAATAAAAACAATGCTGGAGATTGCATGGCAGAATTTTGCAAGACCAATAACATTTATTCGTTGCAAATACCTTTCATAAACAACATTAAAGGCATAGGACAAGCACTGGATTATGAACCACAAGATCCGCAATTCAAGTCCACTATCTGCTCCGCAGGAGAAAGATGAGACTTTCTGCTCCTACAAAACATTTAAAGCCTCAGAAACCCTATACAGGGTTGCTATGAGTCAAAACAAACTCCACAGAAACAAACTCCATGGCGTTTACCACCAACCATGCACGTGGACCTCTCCAGATGGAATACACAGGAATCAAATTGAATACATCTGTGGGTAAACAAGGTGGAGAAACACAACATCAGAGGTAGACTGTGAAACAATTGCTTATATGCAAATTCAGACTGAAGCTTAAGAAAATTAAAACAAGTCCACAAGAGTCACAATATGACTTTGAATATTTCCCACCTGAATTTTGAGACCATCTCAAGAACAGATTTGATGCATTAGACACTAATGACTGAAGACCCATATTGTGTCCCTTCCAGAGAAAGGTGGTGGGTTTGAACTGCTGACCTTGAAGTTCAAACTGACCTTGCAGTCCAGTATTTATCCTACAGTGCCACACCAGAACTCCATTCTTCTTGTTGTTGCTGTTAAATGCCATTGAATTGGTTCCTATGCATACCTGTAGAGGGTTTCCGAGGTGCGGCTGATGGTTGTGTCCTACATAAATCTTTGGCTTACTTCAGATTTTTTGTTGCTGCTGTTGCTCTTTTTACAAATTGTTCCTCTAGCAGATGAATATTGAGAGATTTATCTTCAAGGTCAGTAGTTTGACCTTCCATTAATCTAATTCTATTTCTTTGCCCTTTCAATATATTTTCTATTTCTGAAGTCTTAGTATTAATCTTCTGGCTTTCTAATTGCTGCTTTTGTATGGTATCCATTTTTTTCATTTACATTTTCAGTGTGTTCTTATAGTGTTAAACTGAACTCTTCTAAAGTTTTGTCTGTGTTTTTCTTGAAGGTACCTAAATATCATGCTTTTTAATTCCTCATCAAATAGTTCTGATGCCATTTCTGGTATTATATTTTCTGACTGTATTTTGGTTACTTGTTTGAGGCACTGCCTTGTTTCTTCATGTAAGCTAAGTTTTTCTGTTGTCTCTGAGACAGTGTGGTTTCATTGTATTTATACTTAATTGATGATTGTGTGTTGGAATGTTCTCAGGTACTCACCTCCTATCTCCTGGTAGGTGTGATAGAGACTGGAAGTGTGAACAAAGTTCACTGCTGTTTGTGTAGCATAGTTCGGGGCAGGTTCATACACGTCCAGACATGGGGACAGTATGCCCAGTGCCCTACCTTAAGTAGGGCAGAGGCTGAGCAGGAGAGGTGGCATGGGCCACTGTTTTTGAGGGTACAGGGAATAAGGTAAAACCACAAAAAAACTGCAAATCTTCTGCCATGACCTGCCCCTTTGGGCCACTGTATCAGCAGCTGCCAGCAAATGTTCAAAATGACTGAGCTGTTCCAGGCCAGCTGACTACCTATCTGTTTTTTTTCTCTTGTGCTGCTCCTGTTCAGATTCTTCTTCTAGCCATCACTCAATCAACCCCTCCACCCAAGTTCAGGGTCTCCCATGTCCTTGTTGCAGTGGCTTTGCTCAGCACATCTGCCTACTCTGTCATTGTTGTTGTTGTTGTTATGTGCCATGGAGTCGGTTCCGACTCATAGCGACCCTGTACAGGGTTTCCGAGGCTGTACATCTTAACAGGAGCAGAAAACCTCATCTTTCTCCCGCGGAGCAGCTGGTAGTTTCAAACTGCTGACCTTGCGATTCACAGCCCGATTCGTAACCATATTGCCCTGTAATTCCATCTTATTTCTCTTTTCCCATGTGTAACATATTCACAGACTTTGGGGGTCAAGACATTGACTTTTGGGGGTCTATTATTTTGCCTACCACAACCCTAAAAATCTTCATTTCTCTTGAGAGGATCTGATTGATAAATTCTTCATCATCTTCTTTAAGTCATTTCCTGGACTCCAACAAGGCTGAAGTCATGAATTCAGTAGTGAATGTACTTGAAGGTCCTCAACAAAACTAAATTTTATGAGAGTATTATGTAGCTTTGGGCATCAAAAATCCTGGGGAAAAAATAACAAACGAGTTGCAGATGAAATGAAATTTTGGTGATCTACCTCTATGTTTCTAGGTGTGGATATGGTCAAAGGCCAAGTTTATTAATAGAAAATTCCTAATGGAGGAACTTTACCAGTGCTTTCTAAATGGAGGAGACAGCCATGTGGCTCAAGAAGTGGACCCTTTCTGGGACCCTGCTGAGGTTGTGTACTTGGGATCGGCTCACATCTGGCTCCAATCACTTGCCTACTGCATGAAGTTCAAGGAGCAAGTGGAGTTTCTGAACTATGAGGGACTGGAAGAGGCCACGTTGCATATCCACATAATCCCCTGCTCAGCAACTGGACAGTAGGTATCTCCCTTGTCCCTGTTCCTAGTCCAAGTGGGACACACACAAAGTTAAAATCTGTATAATAGGGTCTCTAAGGAGTTGCTGGGGGGTTTGAACTGCCCACCTTGTGATTAGCAATCCAGTGCTTATCCTACAGTGCCACACCATAATTCCATTTATTGCATGAAGCTGTTTATTTTCCTGTCTCCTTCTGGCTGTGAGCTCTTTGAGATAGGAGCACATATCTTACCTTGAAGTACCTGCAGAGTGGGTTCTCACTGTTTTTTGAGTGAATGAACGAGTACATTCATCAACTGGCAATATAACCTATCCTGCCATTGGGGATTGTTGTTTCATGCCGTTGAATTGGTTCTGACTCATAGGGACCCTGTATAGGTTTTCCAAGGAGCGGCTGGTATGTTTGAACCGCCTACCTTGCGGTTCAAACTGACCATGCAGTCCAGTGTTTATCCTACAGCACTAAGGGTCTATTTAATTCCCTTCAATCATGATCCTGACTTAACTAGTCCAAGGAAACCTGTGATCTCTATCCACCTCTTCTGTTATAGAGCACGTGGTGAGGAGGATGTAGTGCTTGACCCTTTGGAGTTGCTGGGCAAGAGGATTGATTTCAAGATTCACATTGTCCGGTGCCTTGGTGTCAAGTGGCTGAAAGAAGATGCAAAGCGGGGCATCCAGATTGGGTACCAACCTCCCTGCAACACTGCTTCACACAACCACTTACCTCATGGTCTACAGGGGCAGAGGGAGCAGTCCTTCAAGTTTTAAAAGAAGCTTATCATGAAATTTTCTTAAGTATTCTCTGTTTCCTCAACCGCAAAATCGCTATTTTCCCCATCTGCTTAATAGAGAAGCCACACATATCCTTCCATTCCGTACTGTCATCAGTGTGTGCTGAGCCTCTCAAAGTGATGGAAGCAGCGGAGTCAGAAATTTCAATGATCATAAAGAATATCCAGTAAAACTGTATCTAAGTAGTTACGTTATGCTTTTGTTTTGAATTGGAAATAAAAGGTCTGTATTACCATGTGGCACTGTGGGTTAATGCAACAAACTGCAAAGCCATTTAAACTGCAAGGTCGGTGGTTCAAGCTCACCAGCTGCTCCTTGGAAACCCTATACAAGGTCACTATGGGTTGGAATCAAGTCGACAGCACTTAACAACAATTACCATATGACAAAACCACCAGATATGCTTAAACTAATTTGGCTGAAAAGATATTGAGAAAGAAAGGAGTAAAGAAAGGGTGAATTTGAAGGACAAAACCCAAAGAACTTCACATGGAAAGTGAAAACTACTTTTAGACCTTAAGCAGAAGTTGTTGTTGTTGTTGTTGTTATGTGCCATCGAGTCGGTTCCGACCCATAGCGACCCTGTATAGGGTTTCCGAGGGTGTAAATCTTTACGGGAGTAGAAAGCCTCATCTTTCTCCCGCGGTGCAGCTGGTAGTTTCGAACTGCTGACCTTAAGGTTCGCAGCCGTATTTATTTTTAAATCTTTGTTGTTGTTGTTAGACATTTCAAGTGATTCATGTAAGGGTTATACCTATGTAGACCACTGAGATTGGCTGTGGAGTCAATCAAAAGAATCCATTCTAGGTCATTTGTTTTATCAATTGATATGTGGGTTGCAACTCTTTGGCTCATCTGATCCTTTGCTTCACATATGTGCCCTGCCTGGTTTTAATATATGTCTGGTGTGCTTTTTTCAGGTACAGAATTTATGATCTTCCAAACACTTTATATACCAAGCCTATATGGAAAATTGTGCACCCCCAAATTGAAGAAACTGTACAATTTACAGCCTTAAATGCATCTCAGGAATTTCTGAATTATTTACAGACAAATGCTCTCATTGTTGATTTATGGGGCCTTCAAGGTACCATGTTTACTTATTTGCATGGCACATTCTTCATCCGGAAAGATGCTAGTATGGTTAGGGCTACAGAGGAGTTAGAGGAGGGAAGCAATCAGGGTCTTTAAAGCACTGGCCAGGAGTCATACTTTTGGGTTCTAATCAAGTATGTGATTATGTGGTCTAATCTCTGCACTCAATACTGAAGTTTCTTTACTTCCTGGTGACTCCCCCTCATTACAGAAGGCTGTGCCGAACTCAACTACTTTCCACAGGGCCTCATGGTCACAGGCGAAGGCCACATCATGGTGGACACCAAGAAAACTTCCACTGGGCTGGGTACAGGCCAGGTGTGTATACTGTGAATTATAAAACTGAGCTGCTAGCCCAAAATGGGTGACTTCAGGCTGAAATTAAAGGGCCCTGGTAGTGCAGTGGGCTAAGCATCAGGCTGCTAACCAAAAGTTTGATCGTTTGAATTCACCAGCTGCTCCATGGGAGCAAGACAAGGCGGTCTACTCCCATAAAGATTTATGGCCTCAGAAACGCTAGGAGTCCTACTCTCTACTAGTGGGGGCATAGGAGTCAGAATTCACTCAGTAGCAGTGGGTCTGTTTTTATTTCAGGGATGAATTAAAACACTATTTCAATCAAACTGCATTATGACCTAGAAATGTCTGATTTTGCTGAAAAGACAATTCAATCTTTTTGTCAAAGTTTAACTAAGGGTCAGAGTTTTGATTTTTGTCTTGGTAAGAAATTGTTAAAAGTGCCTCTTTAGACTCAGCTTGGTCTAAAAGAATGCTTCAAGAACATTGGAAGATAGGAAATAGTATTGGAATTGATAATGTTATGAGGAAACTTGTAAAAGTTTTCGTAACTCTGAGATAGGTAAATATCCAAGTCTTGGGTGCAATATCCTGACTCCCAAATCAAATTTCACTTACTGGGATTTTCTACTGTGTTTTTACTGCGGTGGTGGTGGTGATGGTGATGTGCCGTGGAGTCGGTTCTGACCCATAGCGACCCTGTACAGGTTTGCCGAGGCTGTAAATCTTTACGGGAGCAGAAAGCCTCATCTTTCTCCAGCAGAACTGCTGGTAGTTTCCTACTGCTGACCATGAGGTTAGCAGCCCGATTCGTTACCACTATGCTACTAGCTCTTTGTAAATGTGTAACTAAGGCAGAGGCTAAGCTTGATAAAAACAAGAGACAGCTGTAGTAGAAAATTAGCCCCTGGCAGAAGGCTTTGTTAAACAACTCTCAGGATGTATCAAATAGGCTTTGTTGTTGTTAAGTGCACTTGAGTCGGCTCCAACTCATAGCAACTCATAGCAACCCTCCAACTCAGGGTTTCCAAAGAGCAGGTGGTGAGTTTAAACCACCTACCTTGTGGTTCAAATCGACCTTGCAGTTCAGTGCTTTATCCCACTGTGCCACACCAAGCATACTGACGTGTAAAAAGGCACATGGATAGTGTCTGACCTACTCTAACTTCACTAGATGAGGAGGAAGGTGAAGATCAACAGCCAGAGGCTGATTCCTATGATGCAAAAGTCAGTTATGTCTCCATCCTCCATACTTTTTACCAATCCTGACACCAACCATCCTATACAGGGTCGCTATGAGTCGAAACTGATTCGGGGGCACTTTACAACAACTCAGTCATTTGGTGGGAGTTACAAGACCATAGCTAGAAGAGCCATACCAAGCAACTCACTGCACCACATGATGTTAATAAATGTTTAAGCTTGTTCGTTGTTGTTAAGTGCCATCGAGTCAATTCTTGACCCACAGCGTTTTTCAAGGAGCAGCTGGTGAGCTTGTTGTTAAGGGCCATCGAGTCAATTCTTGACCCACAGGGTTTTCAAGGAGCAGCTGGTGAGCTTGAACCACTGACCTTGCAGTTCAAACAACCTTGTAGTCTGACGCATTGGCCCACAGGGCCATACCAGGACTAAGCATGTAGTCTGACAAAAAACTGTACTTTTCCCATGCTTCCTCTCCTATGTGCCTACAAGCACAAACCCTTTGTTTGCTACACTTTTTAGAACTCTCACAGCTCTCCCTGATAATTTCAGTACTTTGCATAAATGTCAGTGAATGTTTCCCACTTTGTGAAATGTTTTTGTTTCTTCATTAAAACTGTTTTAATTCTACTAAAGCGTAAGTCTGGTGTTTCACTGTGACAACCCTTATCCAACATTAAATTGGATGTCATGGGGTGAGTAGATGACATCAGATGATGATGGGGATCATCAATGTTTCTTCTCCTTAACAAAAGTTTTCTAGATTTACTTTTGCATATCCTGACGGTCTTAAGCCCTGCTCACCACCACCCCTACTTTCAAATCTAGTTTGTATGTGGCAGCAAAAGATGCGAGTCTCAAATAATATGTATATAATCTAGCAAAACTGATTTTTTTTTTTTTTTTTTTTGGTAGACTATGTCAAGTCAGATATCAGAACTTTATCTGAAGTTGCTCAAGTTAGAACAGGAGACAGAACTGCTCAGAAACATCAACAGAGTCCTAAGAGAAGAAAATGTGTTTCTCAAAGAATCCCTGGTGAAAACTAGTTCTGGTCAACAAGGTGAGAGGCTTCAAGTCTTGGTTGTTTAGCTTACCCATGAACTCCTACATTTGAGATGCGTGTTTGCCTTCTAAGAAATGAGCATTTTAATAAGTTCATATCTTATTTAAACAAAAAGTATAAAATTTGTCTTGTATTATTTCTTTGAATGGATCCAAATTGTGCCTGATAATACTGATGTCCTGTCATGCCACCAAAACAAACACCCAGATCCTTGAATAAATTTAACACAGATGAGTAAGTATTACCTTTCCTTTCTACCACAGCCCATAAGTCTTCTAATACCTTGAAGATAAATGGGATGGCAGCACAAGTGCCATCAGTCAAAGAGATTAACAGAATGTGTGCTCAGCAAGTCAACAACGATGGAGAACTTGCTAAAGCTCTTAAAGTGTTCTACCGAAGCATGAACATGGCCAGAGCACAGTTCTGCAGGCTGAGACACTATAAGCCTCCTGTAAGTAACTAGAATCTTGGGAACACCAAGAATCCTTTCCCATCTAGGTATTTGGTATCACTACATGCTCTAAGCACGTAAAGGTTGGGTTAAAAGCACATTTGCTGCTCTTGGGCTCCATTAGACCTCTTTGCTTTTTTACTTTAGTGTGCAGCTAGCTGGTTCTAGGCAACCACAGCCACTGCAGATTTGAGATTCAATCATTTTACAACACACATAATATCCTAGAAATGTAAGCTCAGTATATCATTATAAAATTATAAATGTAATGAATCCCATTGACAGAATAGGAGAAAATCATGATACTTCAGAAAAAGCATGTGACAAAATTCAGCATATTACCATGATAAAATATATTCGCCATCTAGGAAAATAATGAACATTCCTCAGTCTAATAATGGTAATCTTAAACTAGCAAACAGAATGTCTAATGGTGAATTATTGAAAGTTTTCTCTTTCAGATCAGGAAGGGCAGGGATTCCAGATACTTCGACTTTTGTTTGATACTGTACTTGAAAGTTCTAGTGCAGTAAGATGCAAAATAAAGGGTATAGCATTGGAAACAATTTATAGCCAAACCCACTGCCATCTAGTCAATGGTGTGGTGCTGTAGGATAAAGATTCATCCACAAGATCAGCAACGTTGGTGGTTCAAATTCACCATCCGCTCCTCAGAAACCCTATACAGGGTTGCTATGAGTTGGAAATGACTCACAGCACTTAACAACAACAACGAGGCAGAGCAGAACTCCTTTCGAGTTTTCAAGATTGTAAATCTTAACAGGAGCTGTCTCATTTTTCTCCTGCAGAGTGGCTGGTGATTTTAAACATCTGACCTTGTGGTTGATGTTGTTTACTGCTGTTGTGAACTACTGTCAAGTCAGTTCTGACTCACAACGACCCTGTATAGGGTTTCCGAGGAGTGGCTGGTGGGTTTGAACTGCTGACCTTGGGGTTAGCGGTCTGTGCTTATCATATAGCACCAGACCAAGAGTCCGATCGTGTGGTTAGTAGCCTATAATAGAAATAACAGCATACACTTATATTTACTAAGCTATGGTATTTTCAATTGCCTCATATGCATGTGAGAGTTGGACAATGAATAAGGAAAACAATAGAAGAACTGATGCACTGGAATTAAAGTGTAGGTGAATAACACTGAAAGTACCATGTACTATCAGAAAAAAAAACAAATCTGTCTGGGAAATTCAGCTAGAATGTTCTTTAGAAGTAAGTATGGCGAATGCTCTTTAGAAGTGAGGATGGGACATGTTATGAGGAGGGACCAGTCTCTGAAGAAGAGCATTATGCTTGGTAAAGTGTAGGGTCAGCAAAAAAAAAGGGAGACCCCAGTGAGGTGTATGGACACAGTGGCAGCAACAATGAGGTCAAACGTAACAATTAGGATGGTGCAGGGCCAGGCAGTGTCATTGTATATAGAGTGGCAATGAGTTGAAACCTGCTCAACAGCTAACGAGCACTTTACATTTACTGACAATTCTCACAACCACCCGAGGAGATAGGTACTCCCATTAGCCTTATTTTATAGTTGATAGATCTAAGGCACAAGAGATTGAGTAAACTGTTCAAGGATTCACAATTGTTAAGTAGCAGGGCTAGACTCAGACCAGCCAATCAATGTTACTTCACAGTCAATATACTTTTTATACCATGCTATCTCAACTGTTCGAAACTACCAGTTGTTCTGCGGGAGAAAGAGGAGGCAATCTGCTCCTGTAAACATTTACAACCTCGGAAACCCTGTACAGGGTCGCTCTGAGTTGGAACCAACTCCACGGCACATCACCACCACCACCACCTCTCATTATTTCCAGAAGGTATCTATGTAAATAGAAAATCCAGGTGAATTTATAAAGAGAATTACAAAGTTGTTGGAAATTATTCTTAAATCAATTGCATCTTAACAGTAATAAACAGAAAATGAATTTTTTAAAAAAGATATCATTTATAATTATATCAAATATGTGAAGTACTCAGGTCTATAGCAAACATAAAATATGCAGGACTTCTATGGAGATAACGTTTAAGCTTTACTGAGTTGTTAAAGAAGATCTAAATAAATGGAGAAACATGCCACATCACCATGGTTTGGAAGATTTACTATTGTTAATCTGCTCTCAAATAGTCTTATTAGAGATAAAGTGTAATCCCAATTAAATGTAATAGAATCTGTCACAATGATTCTATAATTTATATGGAATTCCAAAAGCAAAGAACGGCCAAGACAGGTCCCAAGACCCAAGAACAAGGTGGGAAGATTTACCCAATACCTAATAACAACACTTATTTTAATCTGCAAGGCTGATTTGCACTACAAGGTCGGTGGAGTTCAAGTTCACCATCTACTCCTCAGAAACCCTATACACGGTTGATATGGGTCAGCACTTAACAACAACAACATGATAAAGACCGATTCATTTGGGACTCAAGACATCTAAGATCAAGGTGGGACTGCAAATCAGCATATAAAGGATGAACTTTTCAATGAACAGTGCTAGGAGAATTAGGAACAGAGTCCTGGTGTGGTGCCTGTTACAAAATAAGAAATGGACTGCTAACCAGAAGGCTGGTGGATCAAACCCACCAGTCACTCCTTGGAAACCCTTATAGAGGGTCACTATGAGTAAGAACCAATTCAATGGCACTTAACAACAACGATGGGAAATAAATGAAATTGGATTCCTATTTTACCCATAGCTGGAAATCAATTTTCGGAAAACCTTAAAAACTTAGTATCAGAGACAAAAACCTAACAGTTTTAGAAGATACTTTAGGAGTGTCTTCAAGACCTCAAGAGTGGAAAGGAATTTCTTAAATATTACACAAAAATCACCTAGCTTAAAAAAAATTAATTCACATGCATTAAAATTACAAATTTTGGTCTACCAAGACCCAAAATAAAAGCCAAAAAGGATGGGTAAAGATATCTGTAACATCTTTAATTGACAATGCACTAGAAAGCAAAATAAAGAGTTACTACAAACCAGGACCACCACCCACTGTCAGTTCATTGTACTGTGGTGGCTTGCATGTTGCTATAATACTGGAAGTTATGCAACTGACATCTCAAATTTTAATGGAGCTTCCAAATTAAGTCAGACTAGAAAGGCAGTAGTCAAGAGATTAGACGACGTATTGCATTGGGCAAATCTGCTGCACAGGGACTTTTTAAAGTGTTGAAGAGCAGAGACGTCAGCTTGAGGACTAAGGTGCGCCTGACCCAAGCCATGGTATTTTCAATAGCCTCTTATGGATGCGAAAGCTGGACAGTGAATAAGGAAGACTGTAGAAAAATTGATGCCTTTGAGTTGTGGTGTTAGAGGAGAATACTAAAAGTGCCATGGACTACCAAAAGAACCAATAGATCTGTTTTGGAAGAAGTGCAGCCAGAGTGCTCCTCGGAGGTCAGGATGGCTAAGTTTCATCTCTCATACTTTGGACAT